TGTGTGTGTGTGTGTGTGTGTGTGTGTGTGTGCGGGTCACCTTACCATTCATGAGGTCCAGGATGAAGCACAGCTTGTCAGGGGTGTGAAAGGCGTACGTCATACACACAATGAATGGACAGTCCTGTGGACAAACAGAGGACCACGATAAGAAACTGTCTCTCTGCTATATCGATCAGAAAATGATTTCTCATCATATGATGTTGCATGGTAATTGGTGTCATGGAGACCTCACTATGAAGTCCGAAAATTAGGTCATATAGTGGATTAACATATTTACCTTTGCGGACAATTAGATTAGAGACATGATCTACCCCCTATTTATATTAAGTAATTTTTATTGTATGGTTTGAATGACAATATTGGGCAATAACTTGGGCTAGATACTGCAGAGTAAAGTATGATAGCGAAAGTGCTGCATTGTATGAATGTGTGTGTGGGGAATATAATTTTAAGTTTATTAATGTATAGGCATTCTGTGGGGTAAGTCGTATCTTTACCTGTCTAATAAATTCAGAGTAGTTAAAGTACAGAAATCTAGAATTATGGAGCCGCATGGCATGGAAACTACTGTGCTGCATCACTCACCCCTGTGCTGACTAATGACAGCATGATTCTCTCATTGAGTGCTAGAGTCTCCCCCTGCTTCATCTTGATCCTCTTCTTGTCCAAACACTTCATGGCATACCTGACATTAGAATGACAAAATGGCCACAGCATTATTGTGTGCTTTTTCCCCTCCGATTCGTATTTCACTTGTATCCATCAGCCGTGCGTGCAGCTTTCTTACATCTTCCCCGTGTCGGCCTTCCTGCAGCCGTACACCTCTCCGAAGCCTCCCCTGCCGATGATCCGATGCACACTGAAGTCATTCATGGTCAGCTGAAGAAGGACAGAGGGAACATGTAAGTCTACTGTGGGAGTAGCTGGTGAATTGATCAACACTGACCCAGTATTTTATTTTATTTTTTAATATTGCAGTGTGGCGTGGTGTTTTGAGAGGTCACAGTGACCTCGACATCTTGACCTAGCCCACCAAAATCTAATCAGCTCGTCTTTGAGTCCAAGTGTATGTTTGTACCAAATTTGAAGACATTCTCTCAACCCTCACCATGAACTTGACCTCTGACCACCATAATCAAATCCAAGTGAAGGTTTCTAACCTGAAATGCATCTTGGGTGGTGTCATTCACCTCCACCTCAGAGAACCAGATATTCTGGGATATTTTTCAGTAGCTCAGACTTCCTGTGGATGAGTCATATTTCCGTTTAGATGGACAGATAAATCCTCTTCTTTCTGTTTTAATCTAAAATGGATTTAATCTGAAACAATAACAATTAATAATAAACACATATATATTATGTTTTTGTCATAAATGTGATCGAAGCTCCACATTTTTATCTGTATAGTCTGACAAGCTGTTAGCGAAATATCCATCAGTCAGGTGCCGTCACATGATGTCACGTCAATCAATAGAGCTACTAATCACAAACACATTCAATACACTATCGATCTGATTGGGCTGCATCACTAAATGTTATACGCATTAACTTTAGCTTTTTTGGGGGTTTCTCTCTCGCACACATCCGACTTCACCTTTCAAGGCCTCCATACACTGTGCTGATGAGACGACTGCATAGTTGTGTTGTCAACAGAAAAAAGAAACAACAGGCCCAGAAGACTCAAGCGTTTTAATTTCAACATTTCAATGAAATGAAATACAAGTGATTGTA